TCGAATTTGCAGTTGGACCGAGCAATCCGTACCCTCTTCCTCTCCCTGCGTTCTGCCATATGTTAGTTCCCAATTCAATCTCTCTCTCTCTCTCTCTCTCTCTCACTAACACATACGCACATTTTCTTTCACAAACACCTTCTCTCTCTCTCTTGCTTTCTCTCTCTATGTCAACCATGTACTCGCAGAGGCTTTAATTCTCTCTCATCTTTTTGTAACTGTTGTTCTGAGCTAGGGTTTGTTCTGGTAATTTGAATGGCAGGGTTTGAGATTGTTTGGTGAAATTTTGGAAGAAAAAGAAAGAAGCAAAATTGTTTTGCATTTTTGTCGGTGGACCATCATGAGTGCCGGTGGTGGTAAACAGTTGATTTCTGTTCTTCCTGATGAGCTCAAATTCCTATGTACTCTCTCTCTCTCTCTTCCCCTCGCACTGCCCATATACGTACATGCATGCCGCTCTGGGTAATCAGAAGGGTTTATAGTTGAATTATTTGTGGGAAATTGATCATGATTATACTGAATTGATCGTGGAAAGATGATTTTTTGGAGAATTTGAGGATAATTGAATTGCATGAACACAGAAATACTGGAATTTCCTTGATGATGATTGTGTTTGTTTTTCTGGGTGAATTGAAGGGGGAAAAAATCATTGTTGTTGGTTTTCTTTTCTTAATTAAGATTAAACAACAGATTGTTCGACTATATTTATGGCTCATCAAGGTTTATGATCTTAAAACATTTGCGTAATGAAGTGACGGTAAATTTATGGTTGAACTGATTACTCAGATGATCGGATGCGTGACAAATGGAAAAAATTTGAGGGGGATTTCTTTAGTTGATACAAATTATGTGTGCCTGACCTCATATCCGACACCAGTACTTTTTATTGATTGTTATTTTGCTTCTCTTGTTGGATACCTCATGGCCTCTGGATTTGTATCCTTTTAGGTTTTTGAGCTTCACCTGTTAACCTTTGTCTTAACTGTATCCAATGAATTTGCTTGCCTAAAGTTTCATACTTATGTTCTGCTCTATACATACACATAAATAAGACACACATATACCTAATTACCTATCTATGCGTATGATAAGTGGTTCCAGCACTCCTCTGGTCATTGGAAGGGTTCAAATTGAAACAATTCCGGCTAATAGGGTGAACCTCGTAAATACATATTGGACTTGTACATAATTTTGATTATAGTTAGTGCCATGTCCAGGCAATTTCTTTTCAAATTCTGGCATAGAAAGTTTCTTCTTTTCTTGCTAATGTTGTTGGATAAAATACTAATGAATTTGACTTTCTTGATCAGTTGAGCTGGAAAAGCAAAGCTTTTGTGATCTAAAAGTTGTCAATAACACAGAACACCATGTTGCTTTCAAGGTACCAATTTTTTCATAAATGAATTTAATATAACTCGATGTTTATTCAATATAGAAATCGCTAGTGCATTTTTTTTTATTGTTTTCATTGCTCTTGTTTCTAGGTTAAAACTACTTCACCTAAGAAGTATTTTGTACGGCCCAACACTGGTGTTATACAGGCTTGGGATTCATGTGTAATCAGAGGTAATACTATTCTCATCACGTTTTTACAGTTTTCATTTGCTTTATAATCATATTTCTTCACCTTGAAAATCAGAAACCTCTGAGACTGCCCAACAAGTGATATCCAGTATTGGTGAACCTCTCAGGCAATTATTTCAAATTGAAAGTTCATAATCTAAGATTGTATTATGGCCAGTCATAAGAATGTAACATATTGTTCATGTACCGTCTACAAGTGTTTATTATACTCACTTTGATATCTTTAAAAGCTTTTGTAATACTGGCATCCAACTAACTGCTGGGTGTGCAGTCACCCTCCAAGCCCAACGAGAATATCCTCCAGATATGCAGTGCAAAGATAAATTTCTTCTACAAAGTACAACAGTGCCTCCAAATACTGATGTTGATGACCTTCCACAAGATACTGTAAGAATTTTAAGTTGGACATCAGTTACTCTGTTTCACTAGCTTGATTTGTCATTTTAAATAACTACTTGTTCTTTAATGTTATTCTAGTTCACTAAGGAAAGTGGAAGGGTTTTAGAGGAGTGCAAGCTTAGAGTTGTGTATGTCGCTTCGGGCGCTCAAGGAAACTCAGAAGATGAAGCTATGAGGAGCTCCATGCATAGTCTTGATACTAATTCTGTGAGTCTTGTGGTGCTTTCCGTTTGGGTTTTCTCAAATGTGTTTGTGTTTTTGTGTAATAATGAATCATGGATGTACATCTTATTGTTCTGGGCTTAGGGAAGTTCTTTAATCCACTGCTTCACAAACTTAATCCAAAGATTGTGTTGCATGTTACATTTCATCACTTGCAATACAAAGCGTATATAGAAAGAAAAAAAACATCAAGTATTGACTTCTAGTGATTAAATGTGGTCGATGAATGAAGTGAGTGGTTTAGCATGTTTTAATCACAATTTATTAGGATTTGTTCGAAGTTTTTTCCACATATTAGATATCTGCAGAAAAATCGTATGTCTAAAAATTAATAATAAAAAAAAAATTACGAAATCATGTGAAGCTTGAACCATCTGACTTGTTTTTGGAATTATATGAAAATTATGTGCTCCCATTTGTTTAGTTGACTTTCTTTCCGTGCTTACTGTTAACTTGTAGCAGTCCAGTATAAAATGTCTTGATAGGCTTATTGCAGCGATTCATAATATATTTGAATTCATTTCATATTCTAACACTTTAAAATTATTTTACATGTAGAATCAGGCTTTTCAGCGCCTGAAGGAAGAAAGAGATGCATCTGTTAGACAAACACAGCAACTTCAACAGGAACTGGTTAGTAGATAATTCTTTCTCTAATACACACATATACAGAAAGACTCGATTATTAACCTAAGTAGCTTATCCTCGATTGTTTGATCTTTTCCTATAGCTAGAGATCAACCATTAGAATTTGGTGCTTTAATCCCGAGTCCTGACCATCGAAAGATTTTAATATCAAATCTGATGGTCCATGATTAGCTACCTGCTGCTAGAGTCACGTGCAGCGTGCTTGCACACGCACACATATATAATACAACATTAAGACAGACTTGTCACAACTTATAAAAGCAGGAAGAATATAATTTTATTAGGTGACCTCAGGGATTCCGGAAAATTGAAGACGGGGAGCTATTTGTGGTCAAATAAAATTGGCAGTATTTATAATTTGCTTAATGCTCAGAACACTACCGGAAGTTAGTGACCTGGTATCTGTAATACAGGTGAGGTTGATAGGAGCTGAAATAGGCAGTGGAAATATAATCATATAAACTATATGGAAATGTCCTTCAGAAGATGGTTTAGATAAATATGTCAAACGATTCAAACCCCGCTCTCACCACTGACATTCGCTTTTGTCCAGGATACACTGAAGAGGCGAAGATTTCGGAAGGGTGACCCAGGCTTTTCCTTCACCTTTGCAATTTTTGTGGGACTTATTGGACTCATGGTTGGCTTCCTTTTGAAACTTTCATTGTCCTCACCAACTACAGAATGACTTCGACGCTTTTATTCAGGACATCAGGAAACATTTTCTTGACAAATTCATTGTATAATTTATTTATGTTCCGTTTGGTGGAAAGTTTGCTTTACTTCCTTTTTTGTATATTGATGATTGTTGCAAATTTGCATCATGATTAGTTGATTTATTGAATATGTTTCTGTTTCACCATCCTGTTCTATGCTCCGTAATCCGTACGCTCGTTTCTGACATTGTTCGGAAGGTCTCCCGAGAAAAACTTGCGTATTATCACATGTTGCATATCCCTTTACTACACGCAATGACGTGTGCCCTGGAAGTTTCTCTCACTGCTTCCCGTCTGGTAAATTTGTTTGCAGCTTGAAAGAGTAAATTGTAACAATAATCCTCTTAACTCTAATTCAATTGGAGCAATGGCACTCAACTAAAAATCCATTACTATTGGTCTCTTAACTTGTCAAAACGTGCAGCTATGGTTTCTCAATTAAAAGTTTATTACCATTGATCCCTCAACTTTAATCCAACTAGAGAAATGGTTCTTCAACTTTAACCTAATTGTAGCAATAGTCTTTTCAGCATAACTCATTTTGACAAAATTCTGACAAAGTTGACGAAAATAGCTACACGTTTTGATGAGTTGAGGAACCCCAATTGTAGAATGATCATTTCAACATAACTTATTATGACAAAATTCTAACGAATTTTATGAAAAGAACCATATCTACACATTTTGATTAGTTGAGGGATCAATTGTAATAAATTTTTAGTTAAAGTACCATTGCTCCAATTTAATTAAAGTAAATGAATCATTGCTACAATTTACTCCATCTTAAAAACACCCTTTTGCAAGTTACTTTCATGCTGTGTTTCTCAAATTTCTGATAGTTATCAGTCTAAAGGTAATTTGAATTTTGGGAGGTGATATTTCTGTAACCTTACCGGCTTCAAATGGAATAGTTTTTCTTGCTCAAGATCTTATGTAAATCTTCCCAATTGTGATATTCATATACTAACTTTCACCACGATTCTGCGTCATTGCACTCTATTGACATTAGCTCAACGGAAATGCTAAACACACATCACCCTTTATTGTTGCCCACTAAATTGAATAAATCAAATGAAAAGAAGCAGCATGATTAAACAAAAGGAAAACTAACGAAAACTCCATAAAAACTTCTTTTAACGAAAAGTCATTTTTAAAGGTATAGTGAATAGTACCAGTTAAAGGTAAAAATATAATTTTTCGTTAAAAATGAATAATACCGAAAGTATTTTGTTAAAACTTCCCGATAGTAAAAAGTGAACAGTATCGGAAGTCATATACCATCTGAATCTGGATCTAGGCCATTCAATCAGGTTTGGACTTAAGAGGCCCAAGTTACACTATTTTTTTTTTTTTTTTTTGCTTCTTAAAGAAATAGAGAGGGGAAAATGGGCGGGAACTCTTCAGGTGCTAAATCTCAAATACTACACGTGCGAAAATTGGCGCTCATCTTTTCCCCTCAAATTCCAATCCCTCTCTGTCCGATCCATAAATCAACCATGGAAATGGCGACTCGCCTCACCGACTCAGCTCCCATCACGCCAACCATCTCCGAGTCCGAGAAGGCCTGGTACCTTTTCTCACTCCTCTTGCAACTCGGCCGCCCGACTCACCTCTCCGAGCTCGCCTCCCGATGCAAATTGTTCCCCGCATCGCCTCACCTGGTCAGATTCCTTTGCTCCATCCCGCGCTCTCCCCTCTACTTATCGGGCCAGCTCTATGTCACGCCGTCTCTGGCTTCATTAGCAACTTTCCTAGAGTTCTTTTCATATCGCAGTGCCGGGGATGCAGTGAGAGTCTGCTTGGGGAAGCGGAAACGGGCCGTTTGGGATTTCGGATTTGGGCCTCCGGCAGAAAAGAGATTAATTCTGGATTTTGGAAATGGTAACTGTTACATTTTGTAGTTTCTAGCTTTTTGTTTGCGATTTAGTGTATTTGGTTGGTAATGGTGGTGATGAACTGCAGTGAATGAAGAGTGTAGATCGCGGAAGGCAGTTGGAAATACTCGTTCGAAGGTACGATTAAATTCGTAATTTCTGCTCTTTTGTGTTTTTTTAATTTAAATTTTAATCCGGAAATGTTAAACTAACAAAAGAAAGAGAATCACTTTAATCAGGGAATTTGTAATCTAAGAGAACACAAAAATATGTTTAATTTTTGCTTTCGTTTTTTTAACGGAAGACTTGGCACAAAACCGAGTGCAGTGGGGTTCTAGTGTTCATAAGGCTTTGTTGTTGTTGATGATAGAGAAATATGTGCTCATGTATATGTGTGTGTTTATATATGTATATATATGTTTTGACATTTATCATCTTTTATATCTTGTTTGAATTTGAGGTTTTTCTATTTCGTTTGAAAGGCGATTCTTTGTATAAATAAAGCGAAACAAAACATATTGCTTTTCTGGGAAGCTTGTAATTCAGATCAATTTTTGCAGTCACATTCTCATATGGCTGACTACTACTTCTGCAAATACATAAATACGCTACAAAGTTGGATGACACTAACGGTGAACAAATCGATGTTAAGTTCTTCGTTATTTATCGATTACAGAACCGAACAATCAAGTTCAGGACTGAACAATGTTGATCATGTTGAGGAGCAAGAGGAGGGCACCAATATAATTGTTGAAACGAAGGTTAACAGGCCGGTAATGGATTGTGTAGCTGGTTTAGAACCGGTTCTTTCAATCATGGCATCCGATGATTTAGTCCTTTATGAAGGAGCTAACGTACATGAGATGGACCGCAGTGGGTATTTTTTTCTGAAAGAAATGAAAGAGAACAATATATCACCAGTCGTGGATGAGAATGTTAATGGTAGTTGTAAAGCTACAAATGTAGGAATCATTGAAGTTGAAAGAATTGTTGGAGGTGAGGAGGAAGAGTTGTTATTGGCTCCTCGCAGCCCTAATGGAGAGAGAGAAAATTTCTCCCAGCCAAATACTGCTAGTTATGATATGTTTCCTAGACGTAAGTTCAAAAGATTCAGAAAGGCAGATTGTGAAGATATGATGCCTCTGAATAAAAAGCAAACAAGTAGACATGAGACCAAGATCATATGTTCAGCTACTGAATTTTCTGTTTCGCAAAAGAAATTGTTGAAGCCCTCCTCCAAGACGAAGGGAATTGACAAGGATAAAATGGCTCGGAGACCGCAATCACACAACTTAGAGCATCACCAGGCTGTTGCCACTCCCAAAGAGAACCAGCAGTGTGAAACAAATCAAAAGCCAATCAGCATAGTGCAGAAATTAAAACGGAATTGTGATGGCATGCATGTTAATGAAAGAAATGGACGCCATAAATCTGTTTCTCCTAAGGTATGCTACGCTTCTGAAATATAATTCTTCTCTCTGTTTCAACGAGTGCACGTATGCTTTTCATTTATGATCTTGTACTTAGTAAGTATCTGATACTTTGTAGGATCAACCGGAGAAAAGGGAATTTCCAATTTTTGAATCTTATGTTGTAGAAGAAGAAGAAGGTTCAGGTATATAAAGATCTGACTACGTTGGATTTTTCACACCCCTTTCAACCTCTTTGTCGATAATGATTTTCTTATTTTGTTTCCCAAACTGGTAGGCGGTTATGGCACTGTTTACAGGGCACGGTTAAAAAATGACGAGAAAAAGGTCGCCATTAAGTGTAAGTAATTTTTAATAATTAAGTCAACTTTCTTTTTCCTTGAAACTGCTAGCTTTTCACTTGGAGATTTTAAATAAACATCAAGCGAAAGGAAAGGAATGGAAGGGAAAGCATGTACCCAAATGTTATAGCCATCCAGTGACACCCCCAACTTTCAGTTATCTAATAAACTTAAACGCTCAACTGTGCACTGTCATCATATGCTGCCTACGTGCCTTCTATAAATGTAAATCCATTGCAACTTGGCTAATTAATAATGTGTACTTTTTTGATATATTCTGGATGATTTATGATGTAATTTAGGTGAAAGAATGGAATTAAATTAAGTTGGGTGTGAGCCCAGTTGAAAAGAAAAAGTGGAGTTGCAATCGGAAGTGGTTTGCATTCTGCATATCGTGTACTCCAACCCGTTTAAGGCTTGAAAGGCTTTATAGATGCCCCCCAAACCCCCTTATAGTTAGACTTAAAGTGGCCTACTGGAAGGGGTTTCAGGTCCAATGGGAGGGTGTTACTCATACCCCCTTTGAGTTGAAGCCAAAAAGAAGTTTCCTAATCTCATATTTCTTTAATTGCTCTGCAGGCCCGCATGCTAATGCTCATAAGCATCATGTTAACAATGAGTTAAGGATGCTGGAAAGGTTTGGGTAAGTGTTTTAAACTTCAAGTACAAAATTTAGATCTTTGGCGGCACACAGTGGTGAGATTTTACCTCCCAGTGAATTTTGTAATGTAGGGGCAAAAACTTTGTGATAAAATATGAAGGCCATATCAAGAATGAAAGTTCCAGTTGCTTTGTACTGCAGCACGTTGAGCATGATAGGCCTGAGGTGATTATTGGACATTTCCTTATTTCTTCTCCACTTCTTTTGAAGCTTTTGTTTGACATTGATTTTACTTTTAGGTTTTAAAGCAAGAGATAGGTCTTTCTCATCTACATTGGTACGGCTATTGCTTGTTTAAGGCATTGGCAACCCTTCATAGACAGGTAACTACTGTTGTTATGCATATTCTAGGAGGATTCAAGAGCTTTTGTAAAAGTTTCTAAAATATTTTATTATTGCATTCACAGGGAGTAGTACATAGAGATGTTAAACCTGGAAACTTCCTTTTCTCTCGAAGGGCCAACAAGGGTTACCTCATAGATTTCAATCTTGCAACGGTTGGTCATACTTGTCCCCACTTTTAACTTTACTTTTAGTTTGTTTTTTATTTTTCTGTTGCAACCATCTTGAAATTTGCTGATCTATTAGTGTTTTTACTCAATTTTATTTTTCCTTATCTGACAGGATTTGCATTTGAAGCCTGGAACAACTCGTAAGCTTTCGTCTCTTCCATGTAATAGATTTTTTGTTGGCATGGTTTTAGTTATTGAGCCTCAATGTTGTTGTGTTACTGATTATATAGATAATCAAGTGTTAAACAAATACTAAATGATGGTTACGAGCACCTAGATACCGTTTTGCTTTCAGTTTAATTCAATCTCCAGACTCTTATTTTTGCAGATCAATGTATGTGGAGAATTAGGAATAAAACAATAGCATTTTGCATATGCATGCTAAATGTTTTTTTTGTTGAGTTTCTGGTAGAAAGAATGTAAAATTATTGAAGCTAATTTTCGCATTTTCACAGGCAAATTAAAATCTGGAGATGATGTAAATTGCTATGATGAGAAAATTACAAATGCGATATCTGTACCTAGAACCCCACTTCAGAAGTTGTCAATTTCTAAGTCTTCAATAATAGCCAATGGGGAGACCAAAAAAGGTCTCAAATCCACTTTTGATCTTAAGGACTTGAAAAAAAAGGCTTTCAGCCAAATGAAGCCCTACAATTCTTCGGGTAGCTGGAGCGTAATCAAAAGTCAGGGTGCAGATGGCTCAGGTATAACGTCAGTAAAGGATGTGAGTAATATCAGGACGACTTCAGTAGAAAGTCTGATGGAACCTTTGCCATCCCAAGGAAGGAAAGAGCTCATCAACATAGTACAGGAAGCAATGCAGAATCGAAACCATATATCATCAGGTGTTTCGGCTCCTATGAGAAAGAGGATTCCTGCCCCTCCTAGAAATGAGGATGACAAGCTTTTCTGTATCACTCCGATGCCTCTGCACTCAACTGGCAATGGTGTTGGTGGTGCAGCCTTGATCAGAAGCAGAGGTTTGTTTCTTTCATCGATTGGAGTCTTGGACAATCTGGTTGGACTAGCAAATTTCTTTATTTCTGTTAGTCATATTTTTTGTCTTAGGGAGTGGAAAGCAGAAAAAAGAAGGTCCTTGTGCTGGAACTAAAGGATACCGAGCTCCGGAGGTTAGGATTCATATACTTACTATGTTTACCTCGGTTTATCTACGTAGCCTCAGTTTAATCCTGCCATTACACTGTAATATTGTTGTAATTTGATGCATTGTCGGAACTTCATTGATTACTCGTAATAAGGAACTTAGCCAAGCAATAACCAACATATTCCTTGTGACGCTTTGTAACTCAAGTTGTTAAAAACATTTACCCCTTGACCCGATGTCGTGTGCTTGACTCTCCACACCATTATGTCATTTGTATACAAAAAGGAAAAGGCATACTTGTGAGTAGGTCAACCGTGAACGGTGAGAGTTGGAAGATTAAGGATAGATGCAATATGTTCTTTCAAAGTATCATCTTCTTTTTAAATTTACATGTAACTTGAAACTTTCTGAAGGTTGTTGCAACATAGCATGGGAAATAGACTATTAAGTTCCCTCCCAGTTTTTAGATTTAGATTTTCAGGTAGTTGATTTTGTCGGAAGATACATTCTATAGTAGCATATGGAGTAGTTGAGTTGCACGTGGAATTGAACCCATTTATTTGGATAGTTTTATTTCTCTATTTTCCTAAAAGATGTTTGATTAATCAAATAAATTGGGATGGAATTATGACAAAATAGTGTCATTTTGATAATTTCTAGTAAATGATTGAGACCACCTCTTTCATTTCTTGATTTTATTTGTCATAATCTGTGTGGTTTATACAGGTTCTCCTGAGATCCCCACATCAAGGCCTCAAGCTTGATATCTGGTCTGCCGGTGTCACTCTACTCTACTTCATGATTGGCAGAACGCCCTTTGGTGGCGATCCCGAACAGTAAATACCCTTGCTTCGATCCAAACACTTTATGCGTAATCTCAATTCTCTTCATTTCGTAAAACATTTTGCTAACCATTGCCATGGGTGTTATGATCAGGAACATAAAGGACATAGCAAAGTTGAGAGGCAGTGAAGATTTATGGGAAGTTGCCAAGCTACACGACCGCGAATTATCATTTCCAGTGGTATTAATCATTCATAACTTCCATGTAGTAAATAATATTTCAGTCTGCAGTGTCGTTGAAACTGCAAAGTAATATTTTGTCACAGGACCTCTATAGTGCAGAGTCTTTGCCATCTCTCAAATTGCAGGATTGGTGTAGAAGGAGCACAAAGAGGCCGGATTTCTTCAACGAAATCCCTAGACCGCTTTTTGATCTGGTGGATAAGTGCTTGACAGTGAACCCGAGGGTTAGGATAAGCGCCGAGGAAGCACTTCGACATGAGTTTTTTGCTCCATGCCATGAAGAGCTGAGAAAGCTGAGGCATCAGAGGCTGGTGCTGTAACTTGGAACGCAAGAAATGGCACCAGTTTAAGATGCACAAAACATCATTAGGACTAATCGGCTGGCATTAGAGTCTTGGTAATTGGCATCCATGAAAAATGTTGTATAGTTACAGCCTTGTTACACTATACGATGGGGGAGTAAGTTTAGTTTGAACTCGTCGTCAATTAGTTTCAAACTTGAGACCTCTCACTAACTAGTGAAGAGGAATACTATTACACCGTAGAACTAAGTGGCGTAAAATATGTAACTAGTTGGATCATGTACTGCAATAGAAATTGAAAATCATTTGCACATGTGCTTCTTCCCCTTGCAGGATTTCTCCCTATATTGATTGTTTGATAATTATTTCGTTTTTAACTTTTAAATCCTATTTTTTGTGCACACAATTTGAGAATTAGATATACATACATATATTATTTTCAAATGATAAATTTTATACAATCAAGTCTAATTGATAAGTTCACATCCTCAACAAGAATATTAAAATATATATATATATAATTTTAATTTTTTTTACGTTTAGTTTCCTTAATTTCTTCTTTCTTTGTCATCCTTTCTCTCACCATATCACATTTTTCTTTTTCTGCTCTTCTTCTCATATATATATATATATTTTAAGGAAGTTTCAACAAAACATTTTCGGTATTATTCACTTTTAATAAAAAACTACATTTTTATATTTTCTTTGTCCTATTCACTATACCTTTATTTGTCATTTTTCATTAAAACTAAGTTTTTTTTAAACTTTTCGTTAGTTTTCTTTATTTTTAATCTTTTCAGATTGTCTTGGTAATTAAGACATTTGTATTTGACTCAATGTTCGGTTTAAACCGTCCACCACTTAATGGGGAGTAGTGTTCTTCTAATTACTAATTACTAATTACGTATCGTTTTCCTTAACCAAATTTCATTAAAAAAAAATATTTGTGACGCAAAATTTAGTTGAATTTGTTTGGTTGGTCAAGAGCTAAATTGGTGACAAAATCGGACAAACGGGAACGCGCCACGTCATGTTGCTGATGTGGCAAGATTCAATTGGCGGGGAGGACACCTGTCCCTCTCACGGATGCTTTGCTTTCGTGGCTATTCCTTGTTTGATATTTTGCTTAGTGAGCAAGCGATGCCAAGTTTGACAACAAATTGAATTAGATTTCATGGTCGTCATGGAGTTGGGTCAAAACACCAAACCACGCGGAAGACTCCAGTATCCACTGGAACTATCTTTTCTATTTCCCCATATGCCCTTCGATAACGCATATAATTGCTAAAATGACATTCCTCTTCTTTTATTATTTTTCCTTCCCGATAGTTTAAAATTTGTGGGTCAAATATCATCATGTTTTTTTTTTGTTTTTCTCAAGTCCCGATGAGAGAGTATAGGAACCTTGTAATCCAAAGATATTAAACATTTCAATGTAATTGTTTCACATAATTCTTACAAAGAAGCTTGACTCCTTAAGATTGAGGAGTTCCTCAAAATAGTTTGTGCACGATTTACTGAATTTTATGCTTATAATTAGCACAGTTCATATTATAAACTATTATGTAAAGATTATCTCTGTAAAAAAATTAATTAAAAATAAGGCCTTATAATCAATTAACTTTTGCAAATAGATATACGGTTTTTAATTCTTTTAGTGAATCCATCGATTTTGTTCTTATACAATTCGATGACTAAACGATATCTTAGTTTATAAGTTTTTTACAAAAATGATTTTTACAAAGTTCAAATTCACCCCACCCACTTCCCTAACTAGCACTCCAAGTTCATACCCAATTTAGCCCCTCCCTCAACCCACATGACCATAGTAGGAGAATTTTTTTATTATTATTAAATGATATTATCTACACTAACGGGAGAGAGAGAGAGTGAGTTTAGCCTCACAATAGATTAACAATAATGTTTTGCAATTAACTTCATTTCGCAACTCTCATCTTCCATCTGCCAAACCAAAAATAAACACACGAATATTTTGTAATTTTTTTTATTTAAAATATTTAAGAAATAACATTATTACAAATTACAAGAGTCGCCATTTTTCCGGATCCAACGACTCCGAGGCAAAAATTTATGGATCTCATCTCATTGCACACCACAAGGGTAGAACGGTAAATGAACGCTGCAACAACTAATTAGAATTCATAAAGAACTAGAAGTTTCCAGGAAACCAAGTCCCCGGACGGAGGGCCCTATAAATTCCACATCCCCGTCCCGCACCCGCTTTCAATTTCCCACTTTTTCTCTGCAAATTTTCTCGCTCGCTCGCTCTTCCTTTCTTGGCTACCAAGCAACTATGGATGCCTTCACGTCTTTCTTCGATTCCCAAACGTCTTCGCGAAACCGCTGGGCTTCCGAGTCTCTCAAGAATTTCCGTCAGATCTCTCCCGTCGTTCAGAATCATCTCAAACTGGTACGAATTTCTCTTTCTCCGAGGGGAATTTCAGTTTCTTTGGACTCTGTTTGGTTGCCGATAAAATTTCGTTGTGTTCTTCTGTTTTCTAGGTTTTATTCTCTGCTTGTGTATTAGACTGAGCAATTTAGGCGTGGTACGAATTCCTCTTTCTCGGAAGTGAATTTCAGTTCCGTTATTCTGTTTGGTTGTCGAGAAAATATTGAGAAAAAAAGAGAAAGTTTCTTTCTATTTTGCACTGTTTCCTCAGTTTGATTCTCTATTTGTGTACTAGACTGAACAATTTAGGCGTGGGGCGAGAACTGCTAGGGTTTTGATTCCCCTTCAATTTCTCTTGATGATTACAATTATGTGCTGCAAAAATCGTGCTGGATGTATTGATTTTGATATCTAGGGTTTCGTTTAGGTTTAATTCGTTTATATATACAATTGGGAGTGAATTTTCACTTGTTTGGTTACCTAGAATCAGAAATAGAGATTTGTAGCTTATGCGGGTGTTATTTGTTATTGTGTGTAAACATTGTATGGTATTTGTCATTCGTTATTTGTGGTGGAAACGAGAAATCAGAAAGAGCAGGGCTCTCCCGTGTTCTTCTTTCACTGTGAAGTTGCCTTTCTTGGATGTTTTGATATCGCTGATTACTCGAATGACAATGGAATGTGTGAATTTTCCCATTTTACTGGTTTTGACTTTCTTTGATTGGATGGTTTTGGCTGGGGAATTTGGTTTGCCGGATTTTGCGGTTGTGTGCAAACCATACCAACTTTGATTTACTGATTGGTAGCCTAAATCTTGCAGGTCTACCTCACTTTATGCTGCACCCTGATTGCATCAGCTGCAGGAGCCTACCTGCATATCCTGTGGAATATCGGAGGCATGATCACCCTTCTTTCTTGCATTGGATGCATGGTGTGGTTACTCTGCACACCAACCTATCAAGAGGTAGGATTTGTTAAATAAACTCTCCTTATCTTCCCGCAGTTATGTATTTGTGTTATTGCAATTTTTTTTAATTGTTTTCATGTATTGTGTTTTTTTTCTTTGAGCAGAAGAAGAGGGTTTCTCTACTGATGGCCGCTGGTCTCTTTGAGGGGGCTACTCTTGGGCCTTTAATTGAACTGGCCATTGAGATTAACCCGAGGTACATATGTGTTAGCAGTTGTTTTCTTTATTTGATTGAATGTTCGAGCTCAGTAGCATGAAATGAAACGAGACTTCTGGGACCACTGTTATTCTTATTTCTATTATTTCTGTGCTGTAATACTTCTTTCTCTTAAGAAAGAAGTGACCGTATGTAGTCGTTTCTAAACAAAATTATGTATTAGCTGTTAAGTTTGATATTTTTTTCTCCCTAGGGAAATTCAATTCAAATAGCGTCCTGATTTTTTGTTGTTTTCTTTTGAGCCAGTGTCTTGATCAGTGCATTTGGAGGAACTGCTCTGGCCTTTGGCTGTTTCTCAGCAGCAGCCATGTTGGCAAGGCGCCGGGAATACCTTTACCTGGGGGGTTTGCTTTCTTCTGGCCTTTCTATGCTAATCTGGTTACAGTTTGCTTCTTCTGTCTTTGGGGGTTCTGCAGCTCTTTTCAAATTTGAGGTAAGGAATTATCAATTAGTCATGTGAATGATGGGCAATGCTACATTTTGCGTATAAAAGCCAAAACAGGGTGATATATGCAGTTATCTAATCGTTCTCTGAAATTGTGTTGCAGCTGTATTTCGGGCTTTTGATTTTTGTGGGCTACATGGTAGTTGACACCCAGGAAATGATTGAGAAGGCGCACCATGGTGACCTGGACTATGTGAAGCATGCCCTGACCCTTTTCACTGACTTTGTTGCTGTGTTCATCCGTATACTGGTTATCATGGTAAGTTGTAGTTAATGCTTTAAGAGCAAAGTCCTCCTCTCGGTCTTGTTTTCTATCGTATTTATGACTGTTGGTGCTTAGACCATCTCCTCTTCTATTTTATATTGTGAGATGTTATCTGTTAGGCTAAATAGACCTGTTAACTAAAAAGGCTATCGTTTCTTTACCACAGTTGAAGAACTCGGCCGAGAAGAATGAGAAGAAGAAGAAAAGAAAGGATTGATGCTCCTCCTGTAACCCTGGTGATGCAAAGCAATGCAAAATGAGATCGTCACTTGTCTATATAGAGTTTTCCATGTGACCTCAAAAACAAAATGTGTAGTTGATAGTGATTGTCTAGTGTTGCTGCCGTTAAACTTCTACTTACTGTTTTGAATGACATCGTTTTAATTCGTGACGAAGTTTATTGTTGTGTTGTGTTAATAAACTGGCTAGCTCCTCCATCTGCACTACCTGTTTGGTGGTATAGCAGGTTTCCAAGTTGCGATTTTGATACTTCCGAGTCCATGGAACGATTTTCGCCACATCCAGTAGTTAGAGCGTGGGCGTAGCGAAAATCCGGATTTCGCAAGACTCAAATTTTACGATGAAGATGGTGAGCAGTAGTGATTTATATTATGAAATTTTACGATGCCCTGTTGTCTTTGGGAGATTTCGCAAATTTGTTGACACTAGTTATGGAATAGCATGTAACAGTACCTAACTTTAATGGAGTCGATTAGTATTAGAATTATTATTGGCACTTCAAAAATTTTATTTTACACTCATAAAAGTTTTTATTTTTTTGCCAAAAAGAGAAAGTTTGGGAGTATTTTAGAGTGTTAATAACAATTTCTTTAGTATTACGGTTTAGGTTGTTTTCCATTTGCAAGTTAGATTTGAATTTCGTGAATGACAAGTTTGAAAGTATATAATTAAAAGACATAATTTTAACAGGTCATTAATAGGTATTGTAGGCTAAGATGGACTCGTTAATGGGTCCACTTGTTAGAAACATGATCGGCCGGGACTCATCCCGGACACTGTACGTATTGGTGTTTTGTCGGGTAATTGTTTTGAAATATGATCTGCCAGGGCCCGGGACTAATCTAATGTAGGGATTTTGTTGTTCCGCTTTAAAGTGTAGTAAAGATACCCTTAAAAATCTACCATGTGCAATGCATATACGTTTTTTTCTAGGAATTTTAACAAAAAGCTTCCGGTATTATTCATTTTAACGAAAAATCATAATTTTACAATAAAAAGTCAAGCTTAATACTATTCACTTTACCCTTTATTTTATCCTTATCGTTAAAAACTCAAAATTTTCAAACTTCTTTCATTAGTTTTCCTTTTTTTTTGTAAGGTGACAAAATGTAATTGGTTAGTTACGTAGGTAACATTAAACAGATGGTTAAATTTTAGTTTCATTTTCAGAATATAACTAGAACATTCAGGGCCTGTGTTAGTATTCACTTGAATCCAATTTTTTCAACTTAAAAACAATTTTCAAATTTTAGGCCTTAAAAACTTATTTGATAGAACTATTTTAAAAAATTGAACTTAAGACTAACTCAAAAATATAGTATATTATCTAAAAACATTAAAATTGAGTTTTTAGAGTTTTTCATTTTTTTTCTTTCCCTCCCCCTCACTCCAAATCTATCTCTCTTTTCTTCTTTCTCTCTCCTTTTTTTTATTTTTATTTTTATTTTTACCTTTCTCGTCTTTTCTCCAATCCGTTCTCTTCATTCTTTCGGTTTTTTCTCTCACTCATCTTCCTCTCTATCTTGTCGGATCCTCTCTCTTCTTTCTCTTTCCTTCAATCATCTCTTACTTTCTTTCCTCCTCTCTCCTCTTTCTATCTCTGGTGCGACCCCTCTTTTTAGATCTCTTTGTTTAGTTTAAGTAGTAAGATTTAAAAATTTTAAATCGCAAATCAATCAAGTTTTTGAGTTTTAAAAAAAAAATTATTTTCAAGAAATGTTTTGAGAAATTTCAAAAAAAATTCAAAAAAAAATATCAAATAGACCCTCGTATATTTACAAGATTTTAAATTTGTTTGAACTTTTTTATACATCAAATTTATTGTTCATTCTTAATATTTGGCATATGTTTATCTATAAATTCAATTACTTTTGAAGTATGTAAGTATGTTTTAACCATTTTAATACAGAAGTATATGATTAATATGAAAATAATGAACTCAAAACTAGCAATAAAATACAAAAATTCGGACATAGAAATGGACATCTCCCACGGACGCCCAAGCAAAAGCCCTACTCTGCTTCCTCTCATTTCCGTCTCCTCCAGCAAAGTAGGCAGCCATTGCTCCCGCTCCGCCGCCCGTAAAGGTCAGAAAGGTCGAATCGAGTTTCCAAATTTTCGTCTGTTTGTATTTTCTCTGATTCCAAAAAGTATATATTTCTGATTGTCGGTCCATTAGGATGCTTTGAATGCCCTAAATTTAAGATTTGATTGCGTTTGAGCTGAAATCGAAGCGTTAAGAGGTGGATGAGAAATTGAAAAATTATGAATAAGCTGATTGAATTCGGAAAGAAAGCTCTGTTCTATGCGAGGGTTCTTTCCGGCTACGAAGAACGGAGAATCCGATCGTTTCGGTTGGAGGTTGAAAAGCGCTTGAAAGAGGTCAGTTTTATTTATTTATTTTCAATTTTATCGTTTTAGCATTTTGTTGTTGATCTTGCATTAGTCCGGTCGACGCTGTTTTTGTTCCATAATTGTATGAAATGGTGGGCATATTATGTGGAGATTATTAGGCTGAGATGAAGTATGATGACAATCTTTGTGGACATGTGAGTTGTGTTCATATTGTTCCTTTTCTTTGAGTGCTAGAATTCATCGCTTAGGCGGTGTTTGGTTGCTGAAATGAGCATTGAAATGAATTCAATTAAATAAGAACGGAATGTGGAGAGAGTTATAGGATGGAGCAGGGAGAGTTGAAAATTTGTTGGAAATGCATCGGTCGGTTTAATCATATTGGAGAATGGGAAAACAGTACTTCAGTTTTTTTTCCTGATCCAATAAGGACCTACGGTCCCGGTGATGTACCTACATGTCAGGCGTCTGTAAATAGCTGAGATTCATAACCATAACTTAGGTCTTTATCTTAGGTTCTTGTTAGATCAGGACTAACATAAGGTGCACCCAAAATTTTGAGCATTTTGGAAGAAAAGTATTAGATATGCATTTCATACGCATTCAAAGATGTGTTTTTTGCTTGTGTGAGGGAAGCATGTGTATTTTGATTTTTCTTCTCACTGACCTTTTCAATAGGATTTTGAAAACGAAGAAGATGCCAAATGAGTGGCGAATGAGCACTTTGGTGCCTATCTACAAGAATAAGGGCGACGTACAAAATTGCATGAACTATAGGGGTATTAAGCTAATGAGTCATACAATGAAGCTCTGGGAGAGAGTCATTGAGCATAGATTGAGGCAAGAGACACGGGTTTCGGACAACCAATTCGGGTTCATGCCAGGGCGCTCAACCATGGAGGCAATCTATCTCTTACGAAGATTGATGGAAAGATATAGAGATTGGAAAAAGGATTTACACATGGTCTTTATAGATTTGGAAAAAGCGTATGATAGGGTCCCAAGAGACATTCTTTGGAGGATTTTAGAGAAGAAAGGAGTACGAGTAGCATATATCCAAGCTATAAAGGATATGTATGAAGGAGCAAAGACTGCCGTAAGAACTCATGAAGGACAAACCGAAAGCTTTCCCATAACTGTAGGATTACATCAAGGCTCATCCTTAAGTCCTTACCTTTTTGCGTTGGTAATGGATGAGTTAACACGACATATTCAAGATGATATTCCTTGGTGTATGCTTTTCGCAGACGATATAGTGTTGATAGATGAAACTCAGGAAGGGGTAAATGCAAAGCTTAACCTTTGGAGAGAAGTGTTGGAATCTAAAGGTCTTCGCCTAAGCCGATCAAAGACAGAATATATGGAGTGCAAGTTCAGTGCAAATGGAGGCCAAAACGAGTTAGGGGTGAGGATCGGAGATCAAGAAATACCAAAGAGCGACCGTTTTCGTTACCTAGGATCTATCTTGCAAAAGAACGGAGAATTAGATGGAGATCTCAACCATAGAATACAAGCTGGATGGATGAAGTGGAAGAGTGCATCCGGCGTGTTGTGTGACCGCCGTATGCCACTGAAGCTCAAGGGAAAATTTTATAGGACGGCAATAAGGCCGGCGATGCTGTATGGCACAGAAATGTTGGGCGGTGAAACATCAAACACGTACACAAAATGGGTGTAGCGGAGATGAGGATGCTTCGTTGGATGTGTGGGCACACGAGAAAGGATAAGATTAGGAATGAGGATATCCGGGGTAAAGTAGGAGTAGCTGAAAATTGAAGGAAAGATGAGAAGAAAATCGGTTACGGTGGTTTGGACATGTGCAAAGAAGGCCTACTGACGTTCCGATTAGAAGATGCGACTATGGGACAGAGGTTCAGGGCCGAAGGGGTAGAGGAAGACCTAGGAAAACTTTGGAAGAGACTCTAAGAAAAGACTTAGAGTACTTGGATCTAACGAAGGACATGACAGGATCGAGCACAATGGCGTTCTAAGATTCATATAGCCGATCCCACTCAGTGACTTGGATTTTTCCAAGTCTCCAACCGAGAAGTTTTCCTCATTCGGGAAATTAAGAGAACACTACCCCAACCTACATGCTCCACTCAGAAAGCTTCAACATACAAGCTTTAACAAAAGAAAATTCAAAGAACTTAGCGAAGAAGGCTTTGGTGTATTTAACACAATACGTTGAAATGAAGGAAAGCTTATTTATTGATATCCCCGATAAGCTACAAATATGTACATATACATGAGTCAAAATAAGCACACAAGAGGGAGCCTTCACAAAGGTTGCTTAGGAGAAGTCTCAGCAGTCGGTAGAGCCCCAGAAAGAGAAGGCACCGGAGGGGGATCATTTGGAGCCTCAGTACTGGACAGAACCCTAGAAGGAGGAGGCATCAGAGGTTGATCATTTGGAGCTTCATTACGCGGTACAGCCCCAGAAGACGAAGGCAATAAATGCCTTTGGAACAAACCCACAAATCTCTGATGATCAAGTAAAACCTGACCATCAGTTTCCTTCATCTGGTCAAGCTTCCTCTTCATGTTTGTAGCATAGTCATGTGCGAGCCGGTGCAACTGTTTATTCTCATGCTTGAGCCCTCTAATCTCCTGTTTGAGACTCATCACTTCAGCCGCCAATGATTCAACTTGGCGGGTTCGAGCAAATAGGCGTTGGGCCATATTAGACACAGAACCTGCACACTGAACACTGAGAGCCAGCGAATCCTTAACAGCTAACTCATCAGACCGTTTGGAAAGTAGTCTGTTATCTTTGGGAGTGAGAAGGTTCCTGGCCACCACCGCAGCGGTCATATCATTCTTCATCACGGAATCCCCAACGGTAAGAGGACCAGTAGGGGAGACGAAGGATGGGCGCCATATGTTGTCTGGAGAAGGCGGGGCTGCCTCTTCAACAAGGTTCAAGTCAAAACGACGGTCGGAGGGCCAGACATTTTCAAAGGTGTTGAAGAGAGAAGAGGTCGGACAAATCAAGATCTTAGAAGTGCAAGAATGAAGCTTCTACTGGTGGAGATTCAAGTGTGCTTTGGAACTTAATGCCAGCCCCTATAAAAATCTGCACTCGACGAAGCTTCAGAAATCGAAGAGGCGCCTGCTCAGAAATCGAAGAGGCGCCTGCTCAGAAATCGAAGAGGCGTTTGCTTTCTCAAAAGCTGGGGCTGCTTAGAGATCACGAGGGTTGATCTCAGAAATCGAAGAGGCGTTTGCTTTCTCAAAAGTTGGGCTGCTCAAAGACCACGAAGGCCGATCTCAAAAATCGAAGAGGCGCTCGCTTTCTCAAAAGCTGGGCTCCCCAGAGACCACGAGGGCCGATATCAGAAATCGAAGAGGCACTACTTTTCCAGCCTTTTCCAGCCTTGTCAGCACCTGTCACACGCACACTCAGTTTTGCGGAAATTATGGGCATTCTGTCAAAGACTTCTGGGAAGTAGAAAACACATGAATCTTACTGTTCAATCACCCACTTCCCACACGCAACAATAGCTCATGGGTACCACAGATAACTTTGCCAAAGTTCTCTGCCAAAGTTGAGCACGTGAAGCTTGCAGCTCCCACTACATCGCTCTGACCAAGAAGGGTAAAAGAATAGCAAAGAAACAGCACTAACAAAGTTTAGACCCATAAAATTTTGAAGGTCTAGCTACCATATTATTACCCACAAGGGTAAAGGAACAGTACCACTGCTGGATAATTGGAAAGTCCCTGTGTGTCAACCTCTGTGCTTCGTGGCAAGGTAGACTAGCAAACATGCCCAACCTTTACTCACATTCGAGAAAAACACTCCCAATAAGATTGCTTGCTCCAAAATCGAAGAGGCACCGTCCTCCGAATCTCGAGAGCCAGACTCCCAACATGACTACTTTCTTAAAAATCGAAGAGAGGGTAAAGGAACAGTACCATTGCTGGATAATTGGAAAGTCCCTGTGTGTCAACCTCTGTGCTTCGTGGCAAGGTAGACTAGCAAACATGCCCAACCTTTACTCACATTCGAGAAAACACTCCCAACAAGATTGCTTGCTCCAAAATCGAAGAGGCACCGCCCTCCGAATCTCGAGAGCCAGACTCCCAACATGATTACTTTCTCAAAAATCGAAGAGACACTGCTCCCCGAATCTTGAGAGCCAGACCCCCAGCATGATTGCTTTCTCAAAAATCGATGAGGCATCGTTCTCCGAATCAATCGAAGAGGCGCTCGCTTTCTCAAAAAAGCTGGGCTGCTCAGAGACCACGAGGGCCGATCTCAGAAATCGAAGAGGCACCTACTTTTCTAGCCTTGTCAACACCTGTCACACGCACACTCAGCTTTGCAGAAATTATGGGCATTCTGTCGAAGACTTCTGGTGAAGTAGAAAGCACATGAATCTTACTGTTCAATCACCCACTTCCCACACGCAACAATAGCTCATGGGTACCACAAATAACTTTGCCAAAGTTCTCTGCCAAAGTTGAGCACGTGAAGCTTGCAGCTCCCACTACATCGCTCTGACCAAGAAAGGTAAAAGAATAGCAAAGAAACAGCACTAACAAAAGTTTAGACACACATAAATTTTGAAGGTCTAGCTACCATATTATTACCCACAACTGTAAAGGAACAGTACCACTGCTGGATAATTGGAAAGTCCCTGTGTGTCAACCTCTGTGCTTCGTGGCAAGGTAGACTAGCAAACATGCCCAACCTTTACTCACATTCGAGAAAACACTCCCAATAAGATTGCTTGCTCCAAAATCGAAGAGGCACCGTCCTCCGAATCTCGAGAGCCAGACTCCCAACATGACTACTTTCTCAAAATCGAAGAGAGGGTAAAGGAACAGTACCATTGCTGGATAATTGGAAAGTCCCTGTGTGTCAACCTTTGTGCTTCGTGGCAAGGTAGACTAGCAAACATGCCCAACCTTTACTCACATTCGAGACAACACTCCCAACAAGATTGCTTGCTCCAAAATCGAAGAGGCACCACCCTCCGAATCTCGAGAGCCAGACTCCCAACATGATTACTTCCTCAAAAATCGAAGAGACACTGCTCTCCGAATCTCGAGAGTCATACCCCCAGCATGATTGCTTTCTCAAAAATCGAAGAGGCATCGTTATCCGAATCTCGAGAGCCAGATACCACAGACCACTTTTTTCAAAGTGCTCTGACAGAGTTAAAACATGTGAAACTTGGCAGCTCCCACTACCGTTGCTATGACCAAGCAGGGTAAAGGAATAGCATTACTACTTGTTGTTAGGGAGACTCCTATATATGTCGACCTCCATCCCCAACGGACAGGCAGACCTGCAAAAATGCTCAACCCTTCATCATATCTGAGAGGGCACTCCCAACGAAGCCTTTTCGAAATATTCAGCTTTCTTTCCCCCCGATAATACCTCTGCAAACAAGCCTATACTAGAGCAAGAATATCTCATATCATCAGGGTTAAAAGCAAGAGTATCCCATATCATGCTTTTTCCCTGTCTTTTCTTTTGGCCTTGTTTTTACCTGCAAGACAAGGAGAAAGAGAACAATCAGTCAGCACTTGGAATCAAGCTTCCAGCCAGGAACTGACTGCCTGGAACCCCTTACCTGATTACTTACCTGGCATTGCTCTCGAGTACTCATCTTCAACATCTTATGCTTCCAGGGAAGATACCGCATCTGCTTGAGGAACAGATAGGGCAAGTGCGAAGGATACAAGGAAGCATGTGGAGACAAGCGTAACAGAACACGTGCCGATACATTCATTACTCTTGTCAAAAGCAAAAGTATCCCATATCATCAGGGTCGAACGTACTCTAGATTTGATGGACTTGTTTTGACCCTCAAATTCTTCAGTCGGCCTTATACTCTGGAGGAAACCAGAAAACCCTCCAGCCTCAGTTCAAGAATAAGCCTGTGGAAAGTTACTTCTTCAAAAGCAAAAGTATCTCATATCATCTCTTCTCATTTTCTTCTCTTTATCCTTCATGCTGCTACGACAAGATGGGGAGAAGGTGAAACAATCAGTTGGAGCTCTGATTGCTTACCTTGTCTGTCACCTCTTTCAGCAGATCCCCTAGCTCGGCGACTTGGGGGACTCCTACTACATGGTTTGTATCGCACTTGACCAAGCCTGAAACTACAAGTAAGCTTCAAGTGAAATTGATACATTACCTTGTGCATCTTCCACCAGTTAAAGATACCACCCCTGGATGGAGGAAAGAGTACTTCCAGAGAAGATGCCACATCTACCTATGAGACAGATAAGGCAAGTCAAGACGACACCACACTCCGGATACTTAGAAGTTTCGTGATTACGAGATCATTCTCATTCCCACAATATTTCCTAATGTCATTTGTACTAAATCATTCACTTGTACTCACTAAATGAGAGCTTGAACCTATGTACTTGTGTAAACCCTTCACAATTAATGAGAACTCTTCTATTCCGTGGACGTAGCCAATCTGGGTGAACCACGTACATCTTGTGTTTGCTTTCCTATCTCTATCCATTTATATACTTATCCACACTAATGACCGGAGCAATCTAGCGAAGATCACAAAAAGCGATCGTTTTCGCTACCTAGGATCTATCTTGCAAGAGAACGGAGAATTAGATGGAGATCTCAACCATAGAATACGAGCTGGATGGAAGAGTGCATTCGGCGTGTTGTGTGACCGTCGTAGGCCACTGAAGCTCAAGGGAAAATTTTATAGGACGGCAATAAGGCTAGCGATGTTGTATGGCACAGAATGTTGGGTGGTGAAGCATCAACACGTACACAAAATGGGTGTAGCGGAGATGAGGATGCTTCGTGGGATGTGTGGGCACACGAGAAAGGATAAGATTGGGAATGAGGATATCCGAGGTAAAGTAGGAGTAGCCGAAATTGTAGGAAAGATGAGAGAAAATCGGCTCCGGTGATTTTGAACATGTGCAAAGAAGGCCGACTGACGCTCCGGTTCGAAGATGTGACTACGGGACAGAGGTTCAGGGCCGAAGGGGTAGAGGAAGACCTAGGACAACTTTGGAAGAGACTCTAAGAAAAGACTTAGAGTACTTGGATCTAACGGAGGACATGACACAAAACCGAGCGCAATGGCGTTATAGGATTCATATAGCCGACCCCACTTAGTGGGAAAAGGCTTTGTTGTTGTTGTTGTTGTTGTTGTTGACCTTCTTCGTTTGAGACTTCATTACTTTCTGAAATAGTTCCACCATTTGTATTCCTTTCCCCCTTAGTTTATTTATTTCTCTTTTTCCTTGGCTTCTTATTCTGGAAACGGTTAATGTGATAGAATAACTTTCTGGTATAAAAAGACCCCTTGAACGTAGAGGTTAATGCCGAAAATGCAAATGCATAGGCATTACGCATTCTTTCATCCGGGAAATGTACTTCTGTAATATGGGCTTACCTTGTTCAAGTACTTTGGCAAATGATTATGAAAATTCCCTGGAAACTTTTTGGCTGTCTTGTGTGTCCACAATGTTACCGTCAAAAGGATGGAGGGACATACAGATACAAAGAAGAAAATTTTACTCCTAAACCCTGAGTTTATTTTCTGTCTGACTTTTGGTGATAAGATAAAAGTTCAGCAGAATAAGTGGGATTTTAATTGTGGAGGAGCAATTGAAACACATCTTTGTACACCAATTTCTTATTGAAGCATTCTGAGAAAATGAAAGTGTTTGGCTCATCAGTCAGTTACAAGCAACTTGATTACACTCAGAAGCATAATATTTGCTTTATGAGCTCTAACATATATGCAATACATGCAAGTTATAATGGATTTTTTTCTTAAGAATTAAGCAGCATGTAATAGCTTATATATGGATATCTTACTTTGGTTTGTAGCTTCTTTTCTTTCCCCAGTCGCTTCGGTCTTATTCAGATTTAGCGTTCACTACCTCTAGTAAATAGGATTTTCACATTATCTGTGGCATTTGTTGCCTTAATACTTTGAGTACTAATTTACTGTTCCCATTTCTTTTATTTATTGACTGTCTCTCTCCAGGCAAATGCGCGGAAGTTAGCCTTAAGAAAGATTCCTGAACAAACTATATTATCGGAGGTTCGCCGTATGGTCGAGGAGATGCAAACTTTAAATAGGAAGCTGGAAGAAACTGTAAGTTTTATTGTCATTGCTGAGGCGGTGAGGCCATTTGGAAACAATTCACAAGTTAACCTTCGGAAACATTAGGGAATATGGCCCAAATATACTTGTTGATTTTAAACAGATGCTTATCCCGACAATATAGAATGTCGTGTTGTTTTAATTTGTTTTTGTCCTTTTGTCTGCTGATGTACCAGGAGGCTCAAATTGAAGAGTACTTCAAGCCGATTGACAAAGAGGCTGAGATGATTATGAAAACGCAACTTGAAGGAGAGGAGAGGACAATGAAGGAGATGATGAAAGCCATGCATCAGCAGGCTTTGCTTGAGAAAACAGAAGCGGAGAAAGAAGCACAAAAGAAATTGGAAACAGACCGGAAGAACCAAGAGTCAAGACCCAAGACCCAGCATCTGCCGCCGCCCCCTTGAAGTTTAGGTGAGATGATTTCGTAGTACGAATATAATGTAGCTTTAGGATGATTCCTGCAAGAGCGTTTTATCAGTTTTGACTGTTTCAAAAACCGTGCACCGTCACACTTAACACGCTTCTCTTACCTTGCTTTCGTTTCTTCCCAACTTGTAATCCAATTTCAAATGAAGTATGTGGTGGTGGTTGAAAATTTGGCTGAAGTAATTGTAGGGCTGTACGGAATTTCGAAAACACCTCTTGCCCTTTGGGAGACTAGGGTGTGCGGTCATGGCTTCCACTCAGCCCTTGTTCCTTAGGTCACAAGTCAATCAACTGTGAAAGTGCCATTTTGCCCTTTTTACAGGAAAGAAAATGGTATGACCATACTCACCAGACTACATAAATTTAAAGCCTTTTTAGGGTTTTTTTAAGTTTGACTTTTACTTTTGAGTAGAACTAAATGAATGAAAATATGATCTTGGAATATTGGAAACATTAACAAAAATGAAATTAGCCTGGTCAAGTTTCTTTTTAAACTAGGGCCATTTTTTCAGTTAGGGGTAAGGGGGTAAGCATGTTACTGATATTTATTCCTAGTTTTTGTTAAAACGCATTACCGAGGTTGTACTTTGGTTCTTGATTTTCACGTATGAGTTTTGGATGGACATTTTTAACCATCCCATATTTGTAAAGCCTTACAGTTGAAGAAGTTTGAATTTATATCATGTCTGGAATTTCTAGTTCGGTATTGTTTGCTGGCGTCTGTGTGAGATTCAACATAAAAGCCAACTCCAATGAGTTTAATTATTTTGTTAATATGTGCAATTCGTGTTTCAAAAGTGTGATAGAATAATAGCGTTGCTTTGCAGCACAAGTCTTTTCAATTGAATTTGATGGACTCTACTCATTCCACTTTGTCTAACATGCAATTGAATGGGTACATAGGCGGAGTGATTTTCGCATTATTTTTAGCCTCTTCATAATTCCTTTTCTATTTCTAATTATTGAATTAAATGAATCAAACTTAACTAATGGACAAGACCAAACAAGATGGAAGTTTAACTTTTGACTGCAAGTGTTGGAAACTAAAAGCTTTCGCATAAGTAGGTCAAAGACTAGTATATGGAGTGCAAATTTAATGAGAACGGGGGCTCAAGTGAGATAGGATGAGAATTGGAGACCATGAAGTATCAAAGAGTGAACGTTTTCGTTATCTTAGATCTATCTTGCAAAATAACAAAGAATTAGATGAAGATCACAACCATAAAATACAAGCTGGATCGATGAAGTGAAAAAGTGCATAGGGTATTGTGCAATCGTCGTATGCCACTAATGCTCAAGAATTTTTTTATAGGACGGTAATAAGGCCAGCAATGCCTTATGACACGAAATGTTGGGCAGCCAAAAAGCAATATTTCAAAAAATGAGTGTAGCATTCCATTAGATATGTGGGCATGCGAGAAATGATGGGATTAAGAATGAAGATATCTGAAGTAAAGTATGAGTGGCTGTAATTGAAGATAAAATGAAAGAAAATTGGTTATGATGGTTTGGACACGTGATCGAATGCCTACCAATGCTCCGGTTAGAAGAAGCGACTATAAGATGGAGGCTTAGGGCAAAAAAGGTAGAGGAAGATCTAGAAAGACTTTGAAAGAGACTATAAGAAAAGATATGAAGTGTTTGAAGTTAACAGAAGACTTGGTGTAAAACTGAGTGCAATGTCGTTTGAGGATTCATCATACAATCGATCCCACTTAGTGGGATAAGGTTTGTTAACGTTATTGTTGTTTATGATTTCTCTTTGAGTTTTCAAACTTTGCCACTTGAGGTTTTAACGTTGTCAAATTCATAATACTCCAAATACCTTATTGTTCTCCAGGAGGAAAAACAAATTATATCTACAGTAAAACCTCAATAAATAAATCTTCAATAAAATAATAACTCTGGTTAAATGATAAAATATTCTAGTCCCTACTCAGGCCAATGTACTAAAATAATAATCTCACTAAATGCATAAGATAATACTTTTCTATAAAATACTTTAAGGCCTTACAGATATATAATTTAATAATTAATGAAATACTCACAAAAAATTAACAGGTAAAATTTCATATATGTAGGAATTTTTTACTTTACAATTTACATTTTCTCAATTCAGCTCATCCTTAACTGTAAGTGGCCCTCTACCACAGTAGCAGAGAGGAGTGTTGCCCTTACACTACGATGTGAGTTTGAGTCATGTCGTCTCTAATCTAACAAATCTATCATTTGACATATAAAAAATACCTCATCCTTAATTTTTTGCAATGCATACACCACATTCATTTTTCACCTCATCTGACAAATAATATGTTGACCTTTTAAGGGCGTTTGATATTATTAATTGGCTGATGGAGATCTGAAACTTTTGTTGAGCACATTGCCACTAATCTTTTCTACTTGACGAGGATGCTCATTTTTATACTCCACAATGCTCTCCTTGTCACATCAGTCAATCTTGATTTTCTCACTCATTTTAAGGGAGTCTAAGAGATTACTTATATGGAGATTATGTTCTATGTACATGGAATATCTTGAAACATGTATCTTCTAGTTCTTAAAATGTCTCAAAATTTAAAAAAAAAAATCATACATCTTTTTTGTTTAAAAAAAAAACATTTATTTTTGTCAAAAAAATAAAATAATCTCTACTAATTAATAAAATTTTCTTTGTCAACCAAAAGAGGATGAAAAGACAAATTAATATTCTATCACACAAAAAAATGATGGGCAATAATGTAATTTCACAAGTCCAAATTTTACTGTTTTTTATTGAAGCCTCACCTACAGGTGATGTTAAAATACCTCCAATATTTATATATATAAAAAAACCAAAAACAAAAATCTTCCACTCCCTCACGTTCTCTCTCTCTCCCTCTCTCTCCCTCTCTCCTTATCATTTTCTAAAAGAATGTGTTCGTACACATAAAGTGTGTAGACAAATGCTAGTAAACTATAAACAAAACATAAAGTTCTTCTTAAATTAATAAATATTCATATATTGATAAATAGTAAATTATTTATTATCGATATAATCATAATCTCTCCAAAATAATTTTTCTCAGTCTTTTATTCGTTCATAGAAATTTTACTGCAAATTCAAAATAGACATTTATTTTCCAATTTCCAACACAAACTAAAAATTGAAACAAGAACCGTAATTTTTTTTTAATAAAACTGTGGGTTCAAACTTAGATTAAAACCCTAGTCAAACTTTTGTATTTAAAAAGGACAATACCTAAACTTGGAGTCTTTGACCATCCATATAATATATATATATATATATATATATATATATATATATATATATATGTATGTAAACAATATAGATCAAGAATGGAGGATGAAGTCATGAAGGCATGTAGGCATTTACGTTAGGTATCCATACATTACGTTTGATAGAGAAAGGCACTTAGCTACTTTTGAGTCTTTGACAGTTATTGGTTAAACAAATTAAACAATATTAAACAAAGGGATAAACTCTTTTTCTTTTCCATAATATGCTGATTTTTTTTTCATTGAAACCTTTCCAATTATGTATAGATAAACAAAACCTTGATTTCTTCTTACTTCTTAAGCTTGGGTGTTTAGTTTTTTTACTAATATTAATTATAACCACATCTGAAAGTAGTGGATTATCTTAGTGAAGATGACATTTTTTTTTTTAGATCCACTGTGTTATGGATTCAAACTCTACCTCTCCTTGTAATTTAGATGTTTTTCTAAACAACGATATATTTTATTTTAAGGTATGAGATATGAACTGGTACCACGAGATTCGAATTTAAGACTTCTCACTTACAGGTGAAAATGAATATGACTAAAATTGCAGTATTAAGTGGCGTAATTTAGATGTATTTAGGGCATGTTTACGTAGGAGTGATGGATTTGTAAGAGTATATAATTTTCATTCTTGTGTTACTAACAATCAAGAATTCGAAAGGAATGAGTATGAGTTTCATTCACATGTTTGCTAACAATTAATCAAGGAATGAAAATAAAAAATGCAGAATGGTATCTTACTTAAAAAGTGAAGGTATAAGATTACTACGGAGAGTTGTTTATCTCATACTCAATCCTTTATATCCACATCCCTTTATATATTCATTCATTTTCACAATATGTAAACATATATAATTTTAGTGTAAATTATCTTATTGTGCGTCAAAGACTATTTCCCCCAATCTATAACATAAAATATCTGATTAACACCAGTTCTTTTTAAATTACTTTGAGTAAACAAAAGCTAGTTTGAATAAAGTATGCAGTTTGTGGTCGCCCGCGGCCCGCCCATGTGTAACGTTCGTTCAGATGGGTAGGTGTGGACTGGCATGAACCATGATGCAACCAAGCGCTATCAATGGGCTCAATATGGTCCTGTTAAACCAATGATCTCCTTCCACGTGTCATTGCTTTCCGGGTTTGCAGTGGAATGTGGCACAAAGTAGTGATGCATGAGATGAGATGAGATGAGATGAGATGAGATGAGGCAGTGTGGACTTTGGAAACCCTAAAAGCTATCGAGAGTTGGAGTCGCGACACCACTTGATTGAAACGGTAAAAAGGATGCTTCAATGGCTTTAAAATCTAATCTGGGGAAAAAGCAGGTTGCTCACCTTCCTAGTGCGCACAGGCCTTTGCCTAATATTTTTCCACCCCACGTAAAACTTATATTCCAATTCAATATGCACGTCAAATAACGTTAACGCGGAATTATTGATACGAAAAATAACGATAAGAGCTCTGTATCATGTAATTTATTCTTCAAATATTGAATTGAATCTATTTAACGCACTCAGAAATATAACAAAATATAATACACATTAGGTACATTGTTAAATCCATCAATCTGAACGGGTTAGATAAGGATCTGGAACAAGACTACTTTGCATACAAGTTTTATCTTGGAAAGCTTTACATGTGCCATGAAATAATTTGGTTTCAATAAGAACACGTCAAGTGATACTCTGGTGAAGAACAATTTTATTATTATAAACTCTATATATAACGAATTACAGTTTAGGACATGAAAAAAAAACCTTTTTGTAAAGGTGTTGGTACCATTTAATGTGAGCGTTAGTAGTGTAATGCAATTACGTCCAAGTATAATATCTTCTTTATAATGTAATATGACACTCACAAGGCAATTGTCGACCTTGTTACTTCATAAATTATGACATTACTATTATTATGTAACCTTGGAATGTAACTTGAACATAGTGTAGCCTTACATTTCTTATAATTCACAAGTTGAATGTTAACCTCATGTTGTAACATTGTTATAAGTTAAGCTAGGGAGGTCATAAGTGAATTGCATTGTGTAATTTCACAACGTCCCCTGGTAATAACCTACATCCATAGTGTAATTAACAACATCAGTAGTGTAATGCAATCACGTATAAATATTATTAACTATAACATTGGTATCGATGAACTTTTTATATTTATCAAAAGGTACCATATATTTTTTTTTTTAAACAAGCGATATTGAATAGTGAAGGAGAGGTCAAGACTTCTAGTTCAAGGAGTGAATGCTCTTAATAAATTGAATTATAAGTAACATAGTAGTTTAATACATCAATATTCCATATCATGTTTTGGTATATTTCTATAGGACCTGGATTGTTTGCCCTCCCATTTCTTACCCTCCCCATGCTCTCATATTTATGTGGTCACGGTTAAGCCACATCAACATTTT